AATGTAGTACCTTTTATTGGATGACATAATATATGGCTAGGATCCCATAACCAGAAACCAAGGTAACCAAAAAAAGGGGACTACATTTATGGGTCTGGGTATAGGGCTTTTATTTCTCCTGACCCCAGGGCTTGGGGGCAGAGGGTTGAAGGTTCTCAGTTCTGTCAAGGTAGTGGCTTAACTAATTACCAATACTATTTCGGGGGTTCCTTATTATCATTCTTGTATAATGGGCCCCAACACCCTATTCTAATAATTAAGGCCCCGAATTTACCCCTGATCATATAATCCTGAGCTGTAAGTGCCACATTGCTGCGTGCCATTGGGTCTCAAAGCACCAGTTCTGCGTCACAGATCTACAGACCTGACAGACCTGAGTTATGAATCGCCCTTAAGCATACCCCACACCTCAAGCATGACATTCTCTGATGCTGCAGACTCACATATTGTCTTTGTGGTTCTTTGACCATGTCACTACCATGCCAAATGTGTGTTTGTAGTGCACGCGGCTTACAGTTTTGATATGTTGTTTTTTAATGGCTATCGCATCAGGTTGTGGGCTTGCTTGCAGACCTTTGTGGTTGGTAGAACTGTTGCGTGTGCTTCTGTCTGGATCCTGGCAGACAGACTGATACATGCTACAATATACAGTCACATTCTGATCTCGATAATATACAGTCACATTCTGATCTCGATAATATACAGTCACTTTCTGATTTCGATGTTAATTTACACCATGAATATCTGCTTAAACATGCTTATATGCGACATTCCAACTCATGTTGTGTATTTTTCCTTGTCTGGGGGCGTCAAACTCTTCCAACCATCCGTCAAAGCAATTGCGGACACAGCAAGCGGAATATCCATCGGTCAAGGAATCTACCTGAAGTCAGAACATTGAGGCCCCTTGAACGTTCGGATCCATTCCTTAATTCGGTCAGTGGTACGGGTCTCTCATCAGGGAAGCCTGCATGCTCAGCACTTTCTCCCCCAGTGTGGCAAACCAAGGCAGCTGGTCCGTCGGAGCCTGAGGTATCAGAAGTGTGAGCCAGTCCGTACGGGTGCATGTTCGCATACCTGAAGGACTGAATGAGCCCTATTTACGGCTCAAGTGCCGTATAATTTACAGTATAAGACATAGAAGCTCATGGGCTATTCTAACAATGCAAAAGGAATTGAGCGTTCCCGCTACAAAGCTTTTAGTGTCCATAGCCCTGCCAAATAGTTGCTACGTATGCAGCTGGCCTTGTATTGCGGGAGGATTTGCCAAATACTGCGGACTGCGAAGATTCAGACGATACAGAGTTCCCGGTTCTTTGCATTTAGTGTGCTACCAGCTTCTTTTGTAACCGCACGCAGTCATACTGAAGAGGCACATTAGCGTCTTGGCTTGGCTCCGAAGCGCTTGAAATCTAGCCCTGGACGCAAAAAACAAACCCTAGATGCCTTACACTCTCGACTGGCTCACGCTCATTGGCAGGGCTTGGGTGGTACAATACCTGTGTATGCCCTGCTCCCTGTATTTCTGACATCACATGGAACCTTGCTCGAGCTCAAGTGCAATCATACTTGTACTGAATGTAAACACGGAGGACTAGTCTTGAAACAATAATAGTAATTCGTACTACCAGTATCAATCTCGCACCAAAAAATAACACAGTCATTCATGTTTGCCTGGACTGGAATAGAATTTGTAGGGTTTGAGTGGAGCCCAAAAACGCACTAAGGTAAGCACAGCCTGAAGCACGTAAGCCTCAGCACAGTCCAAAGCCTTTACACCGCAAGGAGTCCGGAGCCCTGGATCATCCCAGAAAGGGAGAAAGCAGCATCAACAATAATAGCCGGAGTGGCACATCGTATCTAAGACCGTGTGTGCTTGAATCAACTTGCATTGAGGCGTCATGCGCAATCAACAGTCGATGAGCTCCAACTAGCCTAGTCTTACTTTAGCCCACAGCGATGCCAAGTACCTTGCAACCATGAGTCTAAACTCTATACTATTCGAGCTACAGGATACTTTCAGACACAGGTGATAAACTTTTACTCTCAGAAGGTTAACATAGTTTTAAGTTTTAAACCGTGTTGTTAAAAAACCAGAGCCACATCTCGGAAACAGCTGTCCGAGGTACGGCGGAAGCCCGCAATATGGAAGCCCGCAGTACGGGGGTCAGTATGGCGGGGTTCCTGGTGGCGCATATGCCGCACCCCAGTACCTTGACGTGATTTGTGTGTCTAAGGGTCTACACAGCCCTCAAGTACTCTTAGAGGGACTAGTTTAAGGCCAAAGTACAAACTATCTGCGCCCCTGCACGTAGTTGTTTGCTTGCTGTCAGAGGGGGGCATCTCTGAAAGATCCCCATACTCATCCCTCATCCATCGAAGACTATAAATGCTCAGCCTTAGTAGTCCTATTCTTTCAAGTGTAAGCCTGGATCCGGGAGCATACCTCAGCCCCACGACCTGAAAGCTTATTCTTACATGTTTCAAAAAATCCTGAATCAAGGGGGGTGCTGGGCTCTTCGGAGTTGACAGTAGGGATTTAGGGGTTCGGGTTTAGATGGGTTGCTTCAGGGCTTCAGGTATTCAAGACCTCTTTGAGCGCAGGGCTTTAGGTTCTGCTGCCACGCCCGAAGTCCTCCACGCCCCAAAGCCCTAAGACTTTGGAGCCCCGATAGCCTTAATTAATCAGGGATTAGGGTTTATAGGGGTTTATAGGGTTTATAGGGCTTATAGGGCTTATAGGGTTTATAGGGCTTAGGGCGAAGCCCGGAAGCCCAAACTCTAAGCCCAACGCCCGGAACCCCTACACCCGCAAGCCTCAACCCCAAAACCCACCCAAAGACCGCCTAAACCCCCTAAGCCCTAAACCCTAAAGCCCAAAGACCGCCCTCCTAAGCCCGAAAGTCTGAAGACCCAAGACCCGAAAGCCCGAAAACCCAAGACCCGAGACCCGAAACCTAAACCGTAGCTTTGAAACCTCGCCTCGGGGTTGGGAGGTTTAGGGTTTAGGGTTTATAGGTTTAGAGTGTAGGGTGTAGGGTTTAGGGTTTAGGGTTGTTGGGGCTCCTAGCATCTCTCATCTCACAGCCCGAGACACGAAGCTGCTAGGATCGGACCCGTAATGGTTAGGATAGGGTCACTGTCTCCTTGAAAGGGTCTCCTTTAGATCAAGCCCGTTCAGGGATCGGCAATGTTTTTTCTTTGATATAGGTGCTTGGCAACTTACAATAGGCGTCTTGGGGTATATTGAATACCTTTAGTAATTGTGACACTTTAGAATATTTTAGCGGTTACCAGGACCCTCCAAGTACCCTCAAATAGGGGTATATGGTCCCAAATTAAGGGTATTTAGGGTCTTTACAGGGTAGATGGAGGGTCTAGGTATTCAGCCTATACTAACGCAGCCTGGACCTTGCCGGTCATGCAGAGTTTCAGGTCTAGGGCTCAGCGTTTACGGGTTTCGGGTTTCAGGTTCAGGGCTCAGGGTTCAGGGCTTGAGGCTTCTATAGGGTTCAAAGTTTTAGGGTTTAGGCCGCGGTTCCGGGTTTTTGAGGTTGTGGACGACTTAGAGATGAGGTTCTGACTGTAAGTTCTGGCTTACAGAAGCCATGAACACCTACTTCTGTGGGCAAATTGTGAGTCCAAGGGTACAGACCCAACCCTAAACCCTGAAACCCTATACCCTCCTCCTTACCAGCACCCTGAACGAATTTCAGGTATGGTGGAGGTTACTACCAGCCCAATGCAGATCAGCAAGGACCAGTGGGGATAGTTTGGAGTTTAGGGGCTCGGGCTCAACCTGCCAAAAGGAGTTTCGTTAAGGTTACATAAGTTGTATATGGTTTCCCCCGGGGTTCTATTTTTTTTATTGCTTTTGCCGTAAGCCTTGAACACTGAGAGTGGTTCATGCCCAAGGGGTCTGGGCTATGAGGACCCCATGGTGCCATGGTCTCTGTAAGGACCTGCAAGCTTCCATACCAGGGGGCTTCATATTCAGCCCACGGAGGCAACCCGTTGTATATAGGGTATGAAAGATACACCCCTAAAAGGCACAAGTGGAAATCTGGCCATGACTTCTGCGAGCATGTTCATAACATCACCACAGCCTAAACCCTAAAACCCAAACGAGCTGTTTTCCATAGACCGGTAGGCCCCTGAACCGTTCTGTCTACGGGGAGGAGCTCAGAATGGCTGGATGATGTACGGTCTCGGAGACTCGGCTATTGCTTAATATTGATATATATATAGGGTTCAGGGCTTACGGCTTATAAGGCTCAACAGTTAGAGTGTAGGTGAAGTTTATTGCGTTTAATAGAGGTATATAGGTATTATATAGGGGCCATAATAGTTCAGTTCGAGTTTTGGTGGCGTATTTTTAATATGTCCATACATGAGGAATCGCAAGCAAGAATAGTATTGTTAATTCAGGCTTCTATATGTTAGAAGCACCACTAATCACCAATCTTATTAGTTGCGGTTCCTCGATGTTGTCCTTGTACTTGTATATACGCCAAACCCTAATGAGGTGCACCTGTCACTCCTATCCACTTTGCATCGCCCCAAATCCCTATTCTAACGTTTATGGCCCCCTGGACCAGAGATTTTGTCGCTCATCACAGGTTTGGCTTGAGGCTTTCACGGCTTATGAGCCGATGCACCACTACCCAAGTCCTAAGCCGGTCCTAAGCCTCAAGCCCTGCAGCCCTAAACGAGGTTGTTTAGGGTGTTGGGTTTGGGGTCTTATTTTGTCGGCTTCTGGTGGCCTTGGAAGATCATGCTCAATGCAACCTGGCAATTCTAGGGGTTCCATTGTTTTCGGGCTACGGCATGTTTAGGCTTTGTGTAAGCGTCGGATTTAGGAGAGTGCGGCTGGCCTTGTCCATAAGCCATCGGCAGATGTGCTGACGCCCTATGGGTCCATGTACCCAAATAGTATGCACTTATGGCCCCGCAGTAAATAGACAGGGACGACCTTGAAGCCAAAGTATAGACTCTTTGGGCATGTGGACCACAGGGCACTTAACACTCTTAACCCTTAGCACTAAACCCTAACTAAGCCCCAAGCCCTGAACCCTAAGCTAACACATGCGTCCAGGCTGCGAACCCCAAGCAATACGGCCCTACGGCCCTAAAGTAAAGCCCAGACCTGGAGCCCGGCGACCTAAACCCAAAACCCGACCCCTGCGATCGAATGATTAGGCCAATGTGGACCATATCATACCACTCTTACCTCCAGATGTAGGTCTGAGGTTTAGGGAGCAGGGCCCACACACATCTGTTTCGACGCACGCTGAGGGTGGTTCTTGCTGCTCAGCTGCATTCTGCACTACGCTGTCTGGTGACGTACTTAAGGAGCTTAAAGGCTTTCAGGGTTGAGCCTTACTTCAAGGTGGCCGTTGGGAATTCGAGTAATTGGCTTCGGGGTGCCGTCTCTCGGCCGATTTTTTGGTCTACAAACCTACATTACAGGCGTCGAATATTTGCTAAAATGCTTCGTCAGCACCCCAACCTCCATGCCAGAACTCTGAACTCTCATTTGTCGGAGTTGTAGTACTGAAACAGGGAATGGACAGGGTTGTCGGGTATACTATACTAGATCTTATACCCGAAAACCCCGACCAAGAGGCTCCATATATATATATATATATATAGACTCAGGATTAGGGTTTAGAGTTTAGGGTTTAGGGTGTAGGAGATTGTCTACTATAGCCAGGTCCTGGGACCATGATGGAGATGGTCCTCTTCGGACCTTATTCCATATTTTTCCGTGTTTCCTGCACCTCTGGGTAGGATAGAGGCTCTTACAACGGCCATCGGCATATCTTTTAAGGGTTCAACTATAGTACAAAAAACATCCCCCAGCCAGAACCCTCGTCTAAGTCTACTGGCCTTGTATTGGAGACCCTCCCAGGTGCAGCCTGGGTACCTAAGCTAAAGCCTATAAAGCAGTTGGTTCTCATGGATCGCCTCCAGAGAAAGGGCTCTTGCGGGGTAGCTTTATGGTGATCAGCATCTATAAATTACTTTAAATCTTTGGGTAAGGCTGGCGCCGAAATTTTTGGACCACAGGAGCCGAACGCCTCGTAGCCCTGTAGCCCCGCACCCAACCCTAAACCCTAAACCCAAAACCCAACGCCCAGCTGCTGCTGCTTCGGGCCGATTGGGCCCATCTTTTGGTTCGTCGTGGCCTGCATGCACTTCTGCAAGCCAGAAGACACTTGCATGCAAAAGGGCTACTTGGAGGTTCATGGGTAGTTAAAAGTAGGGTTATAAGTCCCTTAATGTGGGTTGAATAGTTACCCTAATTATAACCCCACTTAAAACTACCCATGAACCTGCAAGTAAGGGTTATGTTCGGGCGTTCTATTCAAAGGTTCCTTTGCAGGCTTGACGGGTGGGTTGTATATTACCAAGTCTACAGCATACGATCTTGCTGCAAGACGGCGCCCCCTGAAAGAGGCCTTTGGCACAAAAGCGGTTACAAGGCCCCGGGGCTCTAAGACACTTGGATTGGGGGGGGGGTCGATATTCAGGGGTCACTGACAGGGATCCTAGGCTCCTTTTTGAGGAAGGGGTGGTGGCGTGGTTTGGGGTTTAGGAAAGGGGTGTCATAGTGGGAATATGTACAGGTAAGCTTCAGCAAGAAACTCGGTTCGAAAACAAGGAACGACGAATTAGTAGAACGTGGGACACGACCCCGCATGGCACACATGGGCGGAACGTCTGGACCCCTAAGCCCTAAACCCTAAACCGTAAACCCTTAATGATTGCATGCCGTACTCCGTTGCAGTAGTTCTTTGCATTACCCTCACTGTCTAAACGCCTAGTAACCTTAGTAACCACTCAACCGATAGTTTCCTCGTTAGGTGCTTGCAAGTACACATTTCTTGGACCCTTGATTCTGTTGATGATATACATCCTGCATTACCTTAAGGACCCTAAACTACGGGAATTATGGTATATTGCAGGATTGATATCATCAACCTGAATCCTAAACCCTAAACCCTGAATCCTAAACCCTGAACCCTGAACCCTGAACCCTAAACCCTATCCCTTTCTGACAAGTTAGGGCCTCCCCCTCTCAGGAGGCGCGGAAACAGCTTCCTCAGGCGCCGGTGTTTGCCTTGAGTTCCGAGGTCTTGCCAGCGTTTGGGTTCAGGGTTTCGGGTTTAGGGTTTATAAAGCTTTATAGGGGTTTATAGGGGTTATATAGGGTTATATAGGGTTATAAGGGTTTTGGGTTTTCTTAACCCTCGACCTGAACCCTGATGTTCACGACGGTAAAGGAATAGTGAGTAGTTCTTGTGCCACCGACGGCAGTGATGATTCCGATGGCTAGACACAGCCGGAGGCTAGTCAGGAGTTCCGTTCCAAAAGACCATCCTTACTATGGTTTTGGGGATTCATAATATACAATACATTAATATATGGACCCTCTGTTCATACTACCGGCAACGCTCCGCGGACATCTTCATCATCAGAGGCGGTGCACGACGAGTCATGCAAACCATTTGTCTTCTTATGCGTGAGCCATCTTTGGAGGAGTCGGGTTTAATTACCCTGGGGCTCCCAAAAGCCCAAAGTAGGTACTATTTATAGACTTTAGACCCCCAAAGTAGGTATTGTTTGTATACTTGGAGCCCTGGGGTTTTGGGGTTTAGGATGCAGTCTGTATAGAGTTCTACACTTCGTGCGAGCGTGTTCTCGCAAGCTACAGATACTGTAGCTAGGCTTCCTGCCACCGGTAGCTATTGAAGCCATAATGTATCTGTCAGCCAAAGTCTTCCCCACGGGGCGCCCCAGCAAAGAAACGCACAGGATGTACGAAGGCCGAAGACTGGACTTGGCTCTTCCGGCACAGGAATCACAAAACCCTGAGACATACCGAGCATGATCCCAAGAAGCTCGTTCTTCCAGAGGCCTTTTGAAGTAGACCGGAAATCCGTGACGCTATCCGAGACCGCTGGGACAATCTAGATCTAATTTGGGAGTCTATACGCCCTATACTCCTAATGGGTACTTTATTGGACCCCCTTGAGGGATCCACGTTTTTAGATCCTTCCGGGGGCTGTGGGATCAGGAGAGGCAAGTTGCCTGCATGTCGCTGTGGACTGCCATTATCTGCCTTGTGATCGAGGCCGCTCAGGGTGTGAGACTTCCAACATTTACCTTTTAAGAAAAACATCTCAAATATCTGTTCTTCACATGTTCGTTTCTTCGGGCTACAGGTGGGGCTTTGTGTATGGGCGGTGGTTTGCTGTGTAGTGCCACTGCCTTGGTTTCCATGCGATTGTCGTAGGGCCGGACTGGACGTGGGCTGAAAAGGGTTTCCGAGGATGATCTGGGTTGGGCTCAGATCTTGTTCGTAAGATTTCTCCGGGTGGGGCTTATGTTTGAGTCGCGTCTGCGATTTTGGGCACGGTGCCTGCGATGGTTCAGGCGCGTATAAAGGGCTTCTCATGACACCTCTGAGGCCCTACTTGCAGGTTCATGGGTAGATATAAGTGGGGTTATAAGTAGGCTAACTATAGTTATAACCCATATTATAGGGATTTATACCCTAGTTATAACTACCCATGAACCCTCCAAGTACACCCTAAATCCCCCTCCCCGGGTTTTGGTAGCCGGGACTTCGTTGCAGCTGGACTTGATGTAAGCCATCAAATTGACGCTCATAGCATATAAACCTCGCTCTCTCTCTTTCTTTCTCTCTCTCTCTCTCTCTGTCTCTCTCTCTCTCTCTCTCTCTCTCTCTCTTTATATATATATATATGCACATGCATATCTGTATGACTATATTTGTGATGTATATATGTATAGTTTTGTATGTATACATACATGCACACACATACATACACACATACACACATACACACACACAGACACACATACATACATACATACATACATAAATACATACATACATACATACATACAGACAGACATACATACAGACAGACAGACAGACAGACCGACAGAGACAGACAGACAGACAGACAGACAGACAGACAGACAGCGAGAAGCATTTAAGTCACCACAGTCGTTGCAAACGCAATATCCAGCATCTGTCTGTCTGTCTGTCTGTTTGTCTGTCTGTCTGCCTGTGCCTCTGTACGTATGTATGAGTATGGATAAGCATGTACTTACTCGTTTGTTTGCTTCTTTATTTTTGCCTATGTCTATGTAATGTATATTTCCTTGTTTTGTTGTAATCTTTAGTATACATGTCCGTAGTATGACAGTTTATCCGTATTGCGATAGGTTCGTTATCCTAAACCCTGAACCCTCTTCTATGCTGCGGTGTCCACCTTTGGAGAGTTTGCTGCTTTGTCTCGAGGGCTAAGGACTTTGAATGTACGGGTGTGAGATGGTTTGGGGAGTGGGAGCTGTTCCCATTTTCCGTCCTTGTATATACTGCTCTAGGCTCATAGATCAAGATTAGGCTTGGTCGAGGGGTCTTTACGTCACCGTCTGTCATCAGGTCATGATGTTCTCATGTCAGCCCTGAGGTGGTTCTGATTATTTTCCTCGTGACATTCGTGTTCACGACCGCGGAAGCTATTCGGAGCACCACTTACGAGGCTTTCAGGGTTCAGGTGTTGAGGGTTCATAGGGATTTATGTATGCGAGGATGGCTGCTGATGGGCAACGGGAGCCAATAGTGCAACGGCTGCCTTGCTGGCTCTTCCTCCTCTCCTCCTACGACTCCTACTGCGACTACAAGCTTTCTGACTCCCCCCGCCTCTATTGCTACTCCAGCTGCCATTGCTGCTGTTACTGTTGGTGCTGCTGCTGCTGCTGCTGCTGCTGCTACCAGTACCACTGCCACTGCCACCATCACTACCACTGTCCAGCCAGCACTACCACGAACTCTGCCACCTACCACCAGCACATGCTACCATTACGCTTACCACACCCCTAGTACCAGCTACGACGACGACGACGACTACT